TATCGGCGAGTCGCGGCAGACACGGAAAGAGCGCGGCCGATAATATCTCCGTCCGCGCGCGCACCCGCGAGGAGAATCGAGAGGACCGATCTCGCGAGATAATTCGAAACGTCGTGCATAAATTACTCGCTGCGCTATTTATAACCGTGCCTCTCTCGCGATTACACGTGCTCGCAAATTATTGCCCGGGGCGTGTTAATTGATAACGTTAGAAAGTGCAAAAGCGGGTCGCGCGCGAGCGGGTTCGCGCACGGAGTGAGCGACGAAAATGCGGAAAAATTCCAACGGCTGTCGCGAGCTGTAGTCACTCGCGTATGGACGAGTCATGCGCGTATTGTTCCGCGAATTGAATTAAACCGGTGACTAGAAGAGGAGAGAGGATTCTTCTCGTTAAGCTGAAATCCGCGCGGCCTGAGTGACGTGTCGGCGCTGCTGAGCGCACGAATAATTATGACGTAACGAGGCACGTAACGCGGCTCAGCACATGGCGTGGAACCGTACAAATCCGCGTGTCTTTGTCGTGCGGGTACGACATGGATATAACGCGCTGAACTCTACCATATTATAGTCTAGATTTCGTCTCGAAAGTGGCAACAGAACCGGGGAAATAATCGCGTTACTCCGATTAATTATTTACGCTGCATTGTACTTCTTTGTATATAACGAAGTGATGTTCAACGAATGCGTGACTTTCGATGAAATCGCATCGGCTTCTCTCTTTCTTTCTTTTTTTTTTTCTTTCTTTTAAGAGCTCTCGCAGCGAGAGAGGCCGGTTCTCTCTCAGCCTTTATGAGACTTTTCGCGTGTATGTTTAGCCATTGGACATTATGTATCCGCAGGCCCAAGTTACGCGACTTTCACTCCGAAATGTCAACGGCTGTTTCACTTTTCAGCTCTCCACCGCGCGCATATCGATCAATCCGCAACAAAGGGACGATTGTTGCGTTGGCGATTTACGATTTCTCTCTGTATCTGTTTCAGATAGTAGGTATGTATACACGATGGCCGCGTGTATTATATGCCGCTGTGATCACGGATAATCGGAATTCGCGACCTGGAAAGCGGAGTACTAAACGCGATCTCATCCTGAGATGAGAGAGAAACTCACGATTCGGCTTATACGATTTGACTCGCAACTCATGGTGTTTCACTTGCGTCTCATTTGTATCTTTACGATGTTACCTAAGAAACGCTTTTGACGAAATAATTCGAACAGTACTTTCACTGAAGCATTTATTATAATATTCGCGTAATGAAAGTAAAACGTTGTAAATAGTTATAATTTTAGTTTGTAATATTCCATCAATTAATTATTAATTAATTATTAATTATAACGTGTGTGAGTTAATAGTATTTTGTTTATGATGTGATTATTGATATATTGCTATACAGAAAAAAATAGTTTTAAATCAACGATACATTGAAAAAAAATTATTGCGTTCAAATAAATACTTGCTATATATAATATGAGGAGTATTCGAGTAGTTTATTTTATTTGGATTAAATAAAATAAATTACTACAATACTCTTTAGCAAATATTTACTCGAACGTTGTATTTTTTTCCAGTGTAAATAGTTCTCATACACATAAGCAAGAATTGCAAACAAATACAAATTCAATTAAATCAAGACTAAAATTCCTCTAAGAAGATTATAATATTCTTGCTTATATATAAAAGTATCTATCATTGATTTAAGATTGTATTTTTTCCGCGTACATGGAAATTTATCATGATGACGAGAAGTCGGGCTGCCTACGTATATCTGATATATATATTAATAATCGTATTGATTTTAGCGTCTCTCCTACCAAGAATGGTTCACCGGTTTACCGGGGAAGAAAATCTTTCTCATCGTATCAAGAGGATCTTGGCGCGGACATTTTCTTTGGTTATCTAGCTGTATGAGTTTTATTCGACATCATAAAGCTAGGTTACCGGAGTTAAGCTCCTCGCCATATCAACTCCACCGATCTTCCCCTTGCCCGTCTCTCTACGCTTCAGCGAAAATAAAGAACCGAGACGCGCCGAATACTGTTACACCTGACGTGTCCTGGGCATCGTCGCGGCATCGACTTATTGAATAAGAAAGGCGCAGACGGAACAGAAAAATGGAGACTCACGATAACGGCCGAACGTTAATATCTTCAGCAACGGATTTTCGACGTGTCTTTATCGCATAGATATAATTTTTTGTCCCGCTCGCGCGCGATATTGGATGCTCGATTGAAGCACTCGAAATTGTGAAATGTGATTTCATCATTGAAACAGTTCAGATATCATAAAGTCTGTTCCTTTTCGTCGAATTAATGTATATTTATGGAATTTAAAAAAAGATAGATATAAGACTTGACGAAAGAAAGAAAAGAATATCTAATACGAATAAATACAGTTAATTAGCAAGAAAAATAGACTTATAATTGTAAGCATGCGCTTTTGGAATATATATAATCCTTCTATATAATTTTCATTATATATATATATATATATATGTACATATATACTACAAGATGTCTCATCGTAACGGTATTGCCGTCATTAATTCGCTGCAAATGACCGCAGTGACTAATTCACAAACGTCCTACGAAGGATCGTTGTTGCAGCGGGAACATTTATTATCGTATTCTTATGCGACCTAAATGTCACGTGGCGAATAAAACGACGCGGATTCCAACGTCATTCTCCCGCCGTCCATCTTTTCCCGAACAAAAAGGACCTTCTCATTGTCGAGCCGAGCATCGAACGATGTTGAGCCGTTGGGCCCTCACAATGGGCCGAGTGTTCGATATGAGGAAGCGGAGGACGGGATCCATAAAGAGGTAAGCGACATTCGCCGGTCGCTTGCGACGTATGAAAAAAGGCGAATGCGTCGGCCGGTTAACGTGGAGAGTTGCCTCTGCGGCTCTCTCTTTCTCTTTCTCTCTCTCTCTCTCTCTTTTTCTCTCTGTATTCCCTTCGCGCGTGAAACTACGAGCCGGGCATTTGTAATTGCCGTTAGTGTCGCTGACTCGTGACCGGCCTGTCGAGGGGACTTTTCAGAAGCGCGCGCGTATCGATATTCCCGCGCGTTATTTCGCGTCTACGTGGCCGCGCAGTCGGAAATAACTCGCGTCGCCGTTTCGATCATCGACTTCGTGGGGAAAGTTACGTCGTTGATCTCGTCGTCACGTCGCGATTTAGGGCGATTGATTCGTGGGAGAACTCCGCGGAAGCTCGCGCCGGGCATGCCAACATTCTCGATACGATCTAGTCGATTTGAAATAATCAATGGAATTATGCCCGAGTAGAAGGGAAAATAACGGTAACATGGAAATGACAAATCAAGAAATGATGAAAAAAGTGATCGAAAGAAAAGTTTTACGATCACTTTATTCTAATCAATTTATCGTTTGCGGCAAATAATGCGGCTGATAATAATTTTGCATTCTTCGACGAAAACGTAAAGTTGTGTAAACGCCGTTGTGAATTCGGAGCGTTAACGCATCGAAGGCACGACCCGAGAACGGAACGAATTGTTTCATTAAACACACGCTGTGCCTATGAAACGTTACATTTTAAGTGTGTGCCGACACGGTGCGTGACGACGATGGTTCCCACAATAAAGAAGCCGGGATATGTTTACCAATTATACATATGTATATGCGACCACAGGAACGAACACGTCCGGCGTGATATTGTAGGAAAAACTCCTGGCTTTGTTTAAATTGTGTGTAAAAGTACGGAACAATATGCAAAAAATTGCCCTAGACTTTCTCGATCAAATACGTATTAGAAAGCGATATATCCTTTTTTTTTTATGTGAAACTTCTCGAGACTCGAGAAGTGTAATTGCGACAGTAATTATCTGTACTTCTAGGAAAGTTTGTTTAAATAAATTTGTGCACACGTGCAATGCACGCAATTGGACAAGATATGCGTGTCCTCACTTTGAAGTTAGAGAATTAGAATTTTATAAAGCAATAAATATATAAATGTTATATAAATGTTAGAATAACAAATAAATTGTACGAAAATTAAATGTAATAAAAAGAACATAATTATGTGTGAATTTTTATACAATATTAACCCATTAAAATATGTTTGTTTTGAAAAATATTTACTTATTACACTATAATTTTAATCAAAGTATAGACTTCTTATTAGCAAAATAATTCTGAATTACTTGCGTTTTCTTTCGGGGAAAATAAGTAGCAATATTCATGGCATCGAAATATTGCCACAATTTTCATCAGGTATCAAATGACTTCCCTTACGGAAAAATATTTCTGGCTATGATAAATTGGCCAGTGATAAATAGTAGTTTTATTACTTAAATAATAAAACTATTGAGCAACAATAATTTATCACCGGTCAATTTATCATAGCCAGTAATACTTTTCTGTAAGGCTTCTTTTTTTTATATACTGACAACATTCTTGTCACATGAGAGGACGCATTTTAATGTATTTACGCTAATCACGATACGGACAATACAGCAAAATATGTCTGTCTGGGTAATTCTGAGTCAGATTTCATTTCTTTCCGGGAATTGTTCTGTACGACGCGTCTGTATGTCACAGAAATATTTCTACGATTTCCGAGGTCGAATTTGAGGAATGTATCTTGGGAGCTAATAAATATTAATAAGTATCGCTAATCATATTGAAGAACAACGTTATATTTTTTGTATATATATCTAAAGATACGCAATTACTCACCTTTCGCTTTGCCAACATTCTTGAATTTTTTGCTGAAAGAGAGGGCGCCATATTACAACATCGTACGAAACTGAATACTTTCGAAATCCTAATTTCGAGGCTCGGCCATTCTATCATACACAGACGGAGGATTCGTTTCGACTTCGTCGTCCCCGCGGTGGCCGATGTTCGCGGTACTTGAAGGAGACAAAATTTCCGGTGTAAATTTACTCTTTTCCGCCGCACGCGAGATGAAGATTTGGTCGCGACCCGCGTCGTTACGGCTCTTTCGGTTGACGCCGAATACTGAAGCGCCATCTAGTCACTGTTAGGATGAGCCGAGGGGAGCGGTGGCTCCCGGTTACGAACGAGATCAGGCGGAGGTTATCTCGCGGTTATTGGTTTAGAGACAAATTTTATAATGGCAAGCCAGGTTTGGAAGGTCAGTAAGAGCGATTCTCGTCGGGAACGGAATTGACATGTATTGCGACAACGATCTTGCGTTAAACGTCACTTGACTCGCGTGACATTTCTCATTCCCAACAGGTAATAACGTGATTTTTTCTCGCAGGTTGTCAAGCCCCATGTGCCGTTGATTAGGTTTCGCAAGGGCGGCTCTAATTTAGGTAACGTGTATCGACATGAGTATAATCATCGTGTGTCTCTTCGTGTGGCTCTGTTAAAAAAGTGCGACATTGAGCCGAGCATTGTTGGTTAACAGCTGCGGGTGCAACAGCCGCTCCATCTACGCGACCAGGACCGGCCCCGATGCGGCGTAGTGTAGGCGCGACTGGACCCGGGGTGACCGTCTTGCCGACGATAGAGGACCTTTACCTGCCACCAAGATATCAGAGACAGCCGATAGACGACAAGGAGATCGAGTATATTAACGTAAGCTGACGTAATCAGTTCTCTGACGAGAATCTCAATTTTTTACTTTGACAAATTTTGTTTGTTTATCTGCCCCTTAAAATATTTATATGTATTTAAGAGAGGGACGTTTGAACATATATGTGGTGTGTGTATGTTACATATATTGAATATTTCGCTATGTTTGTTTGTGTGTTACAGCGTGGCGGACCAGAGTGAATTTATATAGTGTGTACATTTAAAATACTCTAAGTCCTAAGTACTTAACTTTATTCATTGTCGATGAAATATGCTATTTAAATAAATGATCGTGACAGAAATTCCGAATATTATTATTTCATATTTATACCAGATCTATCGGGCAAGGTCTGCCGTAACATTGCCAGGGCCTGCTATTTCTGGCACAACTCTCAGCTCATTCCTGCAATGTGAGTTAATCCTAGACTCACGATAACGAGAGTCTCTTTAAGTAGTTCGTCCCTACAAATTTTACATACTTACGCTTCGTTTGTAGCGGAAAAGGGCGAGGAATTTTGTTATTCTGTTGCGATTGTGTTATTGCGATATTCTGAAATGGTTGCTCTGAGTCTAAAATAAATCACGTACTATTCTCGATAGTCTTTGATTTATGACGGGTCAGTGACGGCGATAAGTCGCGTGAATTGCCAGACAGAGAGGAAAATAAAATCTTTATTTTAAAATAGAAAACTAACATTAATTCAGTACGATAAATATCGGAAGTAATATATAATAGAAAGTTTCTTAAGTGAAAGTTCAGTTTTAATTTACCTCCATCCTGAAAAATATTTAAAGTCTTCTGCCATCGAGTTATAACATTATAATTCTTCCTTAATGTATATATAATCATATTTTTAAACGTGTTTGAGAAATAATTAAAATAATCATTTTTAACGTTATTTAGTTTACCGTTTCCCGTGCTTGTACTTCTTATTTTTTCCATCTAGTGTTTTATTTTCGCAGTTACGTTGGGCGTCTAGACAAAATAAAAATTTGAGCGATACGCGCTTCAACAATACGGCCCTGCGATATGACAAAAATAGCAGACGACAGTGCGCTGCGCGGCGGCTGCTTCCATCTCGTCTCTTTGTCGTGAGGTCCCTGGATGTGAGTGCGGAGGAGTGGACTCGCGATCATAGTTTTATCCGAAATTTTCGAAGTGCGAAACATTTACGAACGACGAATCCGCTACGACGATAATGGCCGAGATAACGGATTTCGGACCGCGAAAGACGATTTTTATACTCGCGATTGTGGCCGGCTGCTTCGCGGTGCTATGGCCGAAAATTTTCTACCCTATGCTCACAGCATCTGTCACTTCACATCACCACACGGACAGTTCTGGTAAGATTCCAACAATGTTCTACGTGCTACATCAGCGGCATTGGAAATTCGTTTGGGAGTAATTCGATGTAACGCAATTTTAAACGTTTCGATATATCGCCTTGAAATATATGTATATATGTAAACACAGGCGTAGATTAATTGAAACGTAGTTTTATGAAAATATTTTTGTCATGCCACTTAAATCGCTGCTTATCGGTTAATTCGAGTTAGGCGATACATCCGAGAAAGATGATTTTACTTTATCCTTCGTATTTGTGTAGCGTGCTGCGATGTAATATTCGAAAGTGATGTCACTGCGGTGGATATTATGCAAGAAATGTGTCAAAATATATTGAGGCATCATCCGGTCGATCCGCGCGTTAGAGACGCGTTGAAACACAGCAAATTGACTCCTCAAACCTCCAGCTTGTGCAGAGAGGAAGTTCTAGCCCGATGCGGCATTGACTTGTCGTCCTTCTTGGCTGAGAGGGAACGCCTGGGGAAAACCTATAAACAAGTACTAGAGGAGATTAGATCGTTCAACGGTTCCCTCTGCCTTAAGATGAATTTTGGTGTGCCACTATCACAGTTAGGGACACCTCATCTTATCAGATATCATATTTTGATGCCACACAGTAAGAATTGCGAGGACACACGAGTGAATTGTTATCATTAACGGAATCTCGTTAAACTGCTCCAGTGTGAAATTAACCGATGGATTATTAACCGTGCCTATGTGTTTGTTCGATGTGTGGTATTCCTGAAATATGTGAGTTTTGCAATTGTGCCCCATTAACTCGGATTAATGTACTAATTTAATCGGCGATCTGTACGCACAACAATCGTATAGTTTATATATTATATAACAAGGTAAACCGAAGAAGAAATATGTCTTTGACGTGTCGCATCGTCACGTATATATGGGAAGCAAATTCAAGTTGTCCACCTTGCTTTGACCGAATGCCAAGAAAGCAAACGCGATGTTTGGCAAACAAGACCTGGCCCATAGTCAGCTTCAAATACAATCAGACTCGTGACCTATTATACTTTTTATTCTAACTTTCAACAGGAAACCCGGACCTTATAAAAGTCACATGAATAGTTTCGCATTTTAACCAAATACATCATGCTCTTAATTAATTTCCGTATCGCGGAAATTAACTCACACCGGTCTCTTAGCATGTCGGTAGCAGATCGAGTTTTTGCCAAGACTCTGCCGAACCAAATATATATTTTGCAAACATGATCATACATTTTTTTTTTACCTATGTACAGACACCATACGGCAGGAGCGTCGTACTCCTCCCCACGCAGGCGAAATGCATCCTGCAATGAGGGAGCGGGGAAGGGCCATACCATCCTCCCATATCGTGCCGAGAGTAGTGGACAGACCTGATCACATCGTGCCAAAGATGAGGCCGCCTCTCGGTGGCGCCGGTCATGTAGTTCCAGCTCCAAAGGGGAACAGCACAACGGGGATTTTAATGCCGCTCTACACGATAGGGATAGTTTTGTTCTTCTTGTACACCATCGCCAAGGTAAACGTGAGTGAATTCGCGTGCGTGTAATGATCAAGATCGATACGGTGAAACGTGACGCTGATTCACATATATTCACACGTGACAGGTGTTGAGGAAGTATTCCGACAGCGAGATCATTTCGGAATATCCAGGGGTAGCTGCTGAGAAGGAATTTCGCAAGATGGTGTTCAACCCGGAAGCTCTGGCGACTGCGATGACCGGGGGTGCGCTACATTATCAGAGGGAAATGTCGTCACACGCCGCACCGACTATAGAAGAGTTGAAGGACCGTAAGTGCTACCGCGAAGCTTTTCCGAAAACCTCACAGCGTCATGTTTCATTTACATTATCATCAATGCAATGTCTTTTTCTGAGAAGCTATTTCCTTCAGAGAAATATTTAGAGTTAAGATACGTACATACAAATATACATATATATGTCTTCTTGAGTATCTAAACAGATATCTTTAAATGGTGTTGCATGATGCAAGGTTTGCACAATTAGAACACACACGTATATTCATACACGCGGGTATACTTGCAAGATTAAAAAAAAAACATGAGCATATTGTAAGTACTTATACTTTGAACACGTTTGGTAATGTTCTACATGCTGGAACGCAAGAAGCGGCAGGAGACATAGAGATAGATCAACTGAGACAACGATTGGTCGAGACGGAAGCAGCCATGGAAAGAATTGTTGTCCAGATGGGCAACATATCACGTTCAGTAATGCATAACTCGGCCTCACAGCCCGAAATCAAGGTTTATCAAATTTAGTTTTTCAAGCGGTTCGCTCAGTTTCAGTTTATTAGTCGTTAGAAATCTGCACGTCGCTGTGTTCTGATTGCGTTACAAGCTTTACCCATCCAATGTACATTTAAACATGTTGTACATTTAGTATAAGAATTTATCTTCAATATATTCTTTTCCTTTTCATTTTCTCTTTCTCAAATATCGATGCTTGCGGATAACCGTTGCGAAATTACAAAAATTGTTGGTTTACACGTTTATTATGACACGTACACGAGATTCGTACTTACTTACGTACGTACTTACTCCGTTAATCGAATGCGTCAATGAGTACAAATACTTAAGTCGGCATTACATTATTCAGTACCAGAATTCACGTTGTATATTTTACGTTTTGAGTAGTAGACGGGGGTCCAAAGTCCAATGGTCTGGCAGGGGTCGATCGCGGTTCTAAGGTACATGCCCTCGCCTGCGAGAATATTCCTAACAAGAGTAACCGAGAGTTTATGGGACACTTTGTGCGTTTCACTTTGGTGCACTGGTTTCGCGAATAATAAATTTATCAAGCGTGAATGTTCATTCGGCTTACGTATGACAGTTTCATTGATACGATTTCTGTGGTAACTTGAGTGTAAAATACCCACACTTGATACTTCTATACAAGTGAAGATACATACGACTTGCTGATGCTGAATGTCATTGGAGCATAAATTAACGAGACGGCGGTTGCTCTTTCTACAGCTTCTTGATCTACTAGTGTTAATTGTATGTTTTGCATGACACTCGCTTATTTTACACCTTATTGATGTGGCATATCATAAAATTAATAATACTATAATGTACAATATATATAGGTTCTATATATATATGCCTTAAACAACGTGTTTTTTTTTAAATAGCGTTGTAGCATCTTTTTAATATAATATATATTAAATTTGAATACTGTACGGTTTCTTTGTTACATTAAAAGCATCGTTTATATATGAAACGGTTCCTGTCAACTCGATCAGTGAGATGGCTTTGAAAAGTTACCACATAATATGTTACATTGCATATTCCCGGTATAAGAGATATGTAAAAGCAATCGAGCGGAAAGAAAATGATGGGGCCAATGTTAAATGATGCGTTTGATTTACAGGAGGACACTGCAGACCAGGAATCACGTAGTAGAGAAGGCGAGGAGTTAGATGCAGTAGAACAGTCGCCAACGGTTAAAGTCATGGGTATGGAAATGACGGCCAGTTGCGAAAGTGGACAGAAATGTAGCAGACCTACCACTCCTATTATTCCTACACCACCCAGGTACTGTATCATCATTCTTTCTGATAATTATATCATCTGCATTCTCATTCGAGAAGTTCGTTCGAAATGCCGACATATCGCTATTATCTGTTTTTAGTAATGTCGAGAGAGAAAAAACGCCACCAAAACCTATATATCTAGAGGGTGCGCTTCCGCCGCAATGCGAATTACTCGTGACCGATTCAGAAACTCAAGCGGAAAAATCAGAGGACGACGACGACGCTCCCGTTGTTCTCTCAGGCAAAATGACTCTCTCCCTCATCAGCCTCGACCAGATCGCAGCTGTAAGGAAATATTAGAATTACCAACAGAATCAAATGAATCTGCGGAGCCTTGTTTTATTTGGTGATTCTTTCATTCATTTAATTGTTTGCCTAACTTCTGTATAGGTTACTTAATATAGAGATCACAAATCACAGGAACTAAATGCCGTGCAAAGAATGGTTTCTTGGCTATTACATGTATGGGTATGAGTAATGCGCTGATTTTTCATTATTTCTTATTTCTATTCCTACTATTTCTCTGTGATTTGTTCTAGATATTAATGACTAGTCTATTACGTGCCTTGTACCTCCTATGTTCTACTAATATTTTGATCTTAACACAGAACACACTGGTTTGTTTCAAGTTTTCGTAAAAAGTGTTGTGTTTCGTCTAGAAACAGCCGACCTATCAGTTTACTTAACTTATAATTATCCATTGTTATTTTTTACTGTATTGTTGAGATGTCCTCATGTATACGGATTGTATTATATTGACCAAACCAAATTTATGTCTTGATTTTATTTTTTATTATTATTTCGTCGACGGTTTTATGAATTTTTTGTATACATGATGCTAATGACATAATGTTTTGCAAATTGCTCTTTGCAAGAAACAACACTACCACATTAATTAAAACTACACTATTAATATATTAACCTACAATTATAGACATTTAATCGTACATTTTATTACACATAAATTCTTACAGTATTGCCATATATTTTTGTGGCATTTAATATGTTGACGTTAGAACGTCATTCGGCGATTGTATCTTATCATATAAGTAATCTTTCTATTATATTATATATTGCATTTTTTTCGCTTATTTGTCATTTACAACACAATTATATAAACAGTTATATCTAATATGTAGGAATCAGAGGATGAAACTCGAGATACAAAGGAGGAGGAAGAAAGCGTGGATGGCAAGAGGAGAGGAAATATTTTGGATACCCAAGGAGAAGTTAAAGACGTTGGAGAAAAGACAACGGAAAAACAAACAGAAAAGACCAAAGTCGAAGCGGGAAATGAAGAGACAGAGGAAGAGGTTGAAAAAATCGAAGAAGTGGAGGATGTGCAAAATAATGTGGATCTTGTAAGGGATTATAAACAATTTGAAGTGAAACAGGAGAAACAAGGGGAAGAAATAAAAGCAAGGAAGGAAAATGATACGAAAAATGATAAGCAAGAAATAGAAATTGAAGAGGAATATGAGGAGGAGGAAGAGAAAGAGGAAGTAGAAGAGGAAGTAGAAGAAGAAGAGGAAGAGGAAGTAGAAGAAGAGGAGGAGGAAGAAGAATATGAAGAAGAAGAAATAGAAGAAGAAGAAGAAGAAATAGAGGAAGAAGAGGAGAAAAAACATAAAATCACAGCAGAAATGAAAGAGAAACAAATATATGTAAGGAAACAAGAAGAGGAAGAGGAAGAAGAAGATGAAGAAGAAGAAGAAGAGGAAGGAGAAGAGGAAGAGGTAGAAGAAGAAGAGGAAGAAGAAGAAGAGGAAGAAGAAGAAGAAGAAGAAGAAGAGGAAGAAGAGGAAGAAGAGAAGGAACAGCAGATAGAAAAGAAGCAAGGAGGAAAAATCCAGGAACGTCAGCAATTCAGTCACAATAAAAATGTTAAAAGCTTTGGAGATAAAAAAAAATATATGGAAGATTCTGATCAAGATTTAGAGCAATCGGAAGGTGAGGGTACCGAAGATGATGAAGTGGAAGATGACGATATGGATGCCGATGAAGAAGAAGAAGATGATGATGAGGAGCACGAGGAAAGCGATGCAGAAAAATCTGGATTAGCTTCCAGCGAATGCATAACTCGCAAGAGAAGAGATTAGAGCAATTCTGTTTTTTCCAGCGGTGGATCAGTGTTTACCAATCTTTAAGAAATCTCTACATTAGGAAAAAAAAGGTACTACAATAATTACAGGAAGGCTGGTGTAGTATATCTGCAACACATGAAAATGTATAAACTTGTTTAAGCACTGCCAAATACTTGAAATGCTATGCGCGTCGCATTTTCGTTTTGTTACTCGTTATATTCGACATGTGATAGAATCACAAATTTATTGACCATATAGGGGCCAAAAGAAAGAGAGGCAGTGCTTTATTCACACATTTGTGCCACATTACAATTACCAGGACGGCTTAGATACTTGGATCTATATATATAGATATTATTCTGTCTAGTCAGAAAGCCGTTTACGGGAATGTCTTCTAGGACTCGATAGATGAAACGAAAATAATAGAGACGAGTTTTTCTAATCGTTACATAGCGTAACGATATAGATAAATATGAAACTCGGTGATTGGCAAGCACTGATACAACTTACATGTGAAAGCCAAAGATCTGGTCTAGTCATCTTTTTTTTTTATTACGAGTAAGGTTCGTTCGTAAATCTTTTGCTTCGTGTACTAATTATCATTCTTACTCGAACGTTTAATTTTATATCAGACCTTAGCATTTGATTCTCATACTTCTAATTCTTGTATTGAATTTATTAATGAGCGCTTCTCGACATGTGTATTTAATGTGGAACCTAGAATGCTTTATCATTTCGACATTTCTGATCTTGGTTTGTAAATGTGAACTTAAAATATATTCGTTTAATAGAATTAGCGAAATTTCACTTTATCATCATGTTACATCCCGACGATACTCGCAACGTTCGCCCTATTCTCCAAAATTATAATTTTTTTTTCTTTCATTATTCTTTACCTCTTTCTCCCTTCTCTTCCCATTTCTCTTATTATTCTTCCTTATTCCCGTTTCGAGTGAGAAATGAAAAATTATTTTTGCGAAAGTTGCAATTTATTGAATTTTACTTTCGTGGTAAGGAGAAATAATCCTTTAATTTTCATACATAGTTAATCAAGAATATGTGATAAAGTTACAGATTTCATATTTGATGGTGTGTGAATTACATTAAAATAAAAACTACCTATAGTGACAATTTTCATTAAACTTATTTGTCGGACTTCAATTTATTTATATAGTAACGTAAGATATATATATAAAAGTTTTATAAACTTTATAAGTAAACTTTATATATAGAAATACACATCTCATTATTATTAATTTTGCTGAAGTTATAACTCGTTTAATTTTGTAGCCAACCAAAAAGAAGTACAAATACCAAAAATATTCAGAGAAAAATTGATTCTTCGATTGAAAATGGGAGAGCATCGATTGAATAGTCGATCATCGGTATTCTGATGGTCGCGAACCACGGAATTCTGTCATGGTCAAAGTACCATAACCTTAAAGTTCAAATTTACCATAACCTGTTTCATTCTGCTTTTCTTCCGACTATCCGTTTAATGGAAAACGTAAGATCATCTTTTCCATGTGCATAGAGTATTTCATTTAAATTTTCGACGATCTTTTGATAATAGAAAATTCTTCACGCGATAAACTTTGCTAAAAGTGAAGTTTTACTACACGGGTAACCTAAAAATATTTTTTACACACTTCGTAATCGTGTCACAATACTAACAAGTGTTACATGATTTATGTGTTTATATATATATATATACCATGTATTGTTGCAAAGAAAATGTACATAGTGTAAGCAGTACAAATAATGACAGCTTATTTATTATTGTAGCGTTGGATTAAGCCAACATAAATAAAATACTTGTATATTATATATTCTTGTTTTTCCTTTCAGGAAGTCTGATAGATGAGAATCGCACGTTTTGTAAGTAATGTCATAATAGGCATCCCAGTCGGGATCGCTTTTTGTGACATAGTGGGATATGTAGCCAGGGTAGAAGGAATCTCTATGCAGCCTGCATTGAATCCAGATACAAGGTATCCTGATTATGTGTTCTTAAATCGCTGGGCTGTTCGGAATCAACATATACAACGTGGTGACGTGGTGTGTGTTATATCTCCCAAAGTACCAAGTCAGACGCTCATCAAGAGAGTTGTGGGACTTCCTGGAGATATCATAGACACGCATGGATATAAAATCAATGCTCTTCAAGTACGAATGATGAGATTTAGCTATCAAATGTACAGCGACATCAATAATGGACTAACATTGTCTAAACTTCATATATATATATATTGTTATCTATTTTTGAATAGAATAAAAACATTTTATGTAGGTGCCGGAAGGATATTGTTGGTTAGAAGGAGATCACACCGGACATTCTTTGGATTCTAACACTTTTGGGCCAATCTCCCTTGGTCTAGTGATAGCGAAAGCAACATATATCGTTTGGCCACCAAACAGGTGGCAGCAATTGCATTCTGCAAAGTTCAATCATGAGAGCTGTTAGTTTTGTAAAAAAATTCCAATGGGAGCTACCCGGCACTGTGTGCAGACATGGATTGACAATAGGAGATGTTGACAATGACGGTGATAACGAATTGGTTGTGGGTACTGCTGAAGGAGAGCTTTATATTTTCAAGGTAAATGTGCTTAAATAGTAATATCGCTTGAAGCTGTATATTCCAGATTTATGCTTAATATTAGTTTTTATACAATATTGTTTTGTACAATACGGTACAATTTGGCTTTTATGCAATAGGGATCAGAGCTATGGCAGAAGATCACAGGCCTTGGTCTCATAACGAGCGTAGCAATTGGAGATATCTTCAACTATGGACGTAATGCGCTCGTAGTCATCTGTGGCGACGGGTGGACCCACATATTTTACAGTCCTAGATCTGTAAATCCTAACAACCCAAGCATGTCATGTGTAGGACAACATGCTGGCAAAGATACATGTGATCAGGACAACATCAAAGCAAGTTCTGGTAAGATTCAAGTTTCGAAATCTGAAAAGATGTATCTTAGGCGAAAAAGCGAAAATCTTTGACACTGGATAACACAAGGTATATGTGCAGATATTGGCACGGGTATTAATACGGTGAACTCTCAGAACTCGGAACAGATCGACAATATGAGTGAAGTCAATGAAATGTCGGGGAAAATGGAATGTGTACATGTGCAAAGAATCCCGACTAACACGAAGATAGTACTGATAGCTGATGTCGATAAAGACGGCGCTAATGAGATGATCCTCGGTCTAACGGACCGTGTGGTCAGATCTTATCGATGGTCGAGTAATGCTGATTTGGGGACGGGGAAATTGGTCGGCCTGAATAAATGGGAATGCACCAATCAAATAGGAACGGTTACATTGCAGGTACTTCGAATCAATACACGTAGTGTGCGTTGTGAGACAATATCGATAATAATAAAGATAAATGTGAAATAATGATAAATGCAAAATAATAAAATCAGGAATCCGGACCGAATGAAAATGTCGGTCCGGTTCCGATCCACTAAAATATTTAATAAAGATTCCGGTTTCGGTTCCAGTTTTCTGGAATGAAAGTACCGGTACCGTTTAAATTACGGTTTTTTTCGATTTCGATTCTTTAAACTTGTTTCCTTATTGAAATTTTTATATTGATTTAAATTTGTATACATATATATAACGTGTGCAATAATATATTATAAAAAATAATATCTTCCTCGATGTAAATAGCATTTCTTCACTATTTCCACCTTCTGCTTTTAATTTTTTCTGGACATATAATATTATCCTCGTTATTTGTAACCTCTTTCTAACGGAACGTGTAAATTATGTAGATTCTGAGAATACTCAGAGAATTTTTTTTTTAGCACACCGGTGACGGCACGCCGACTCTACTGGTCGCGCAACCTGGCGGCACGTTTATGCGCATTAAATGCAATCCTGAGGACTGTCATATGGAGGACGGTTCCTGCGAGATGGGCAGCGAGATGGCGGCCAGCTGTGTGGATTATCAGACGTTAGGGATATCCAGGATGCGCAATCAGAATATCTCGACGGAGATCATTGGCGATTTAGAGCCGGGACCGGCGCCGTTTATCTCGACTTTCGAGCCTAAAATGTCCAGTTACGAGCCCAAAGATAGCCTACCGAAGCAGGGTTTTGTAGACGACAGTCAGTTAGGTATGAAAACCTTCAAGCCCGTGTCGCGACACGAGTTTCGAAGGAACTACTCGCAACCCGAGATCAGGAAGAACAGTTCGAACACGGCGGGGGAATTTAGTAGGGAATTTACGGCTGACAGCCAAGGTACGATTAGATTCTACAGCACTGCCGATTCGTCCGGCGTTGACCAAGTGGACGGTAACTTCGTCGGTGGGAACGTTATTCTAGGGGATTACGATAACAAGACGACGAAAGATTTATTGTTACCGACCTTTAAGGATTTCTCCCGCGATAACGGCAATATTAATAGTAATAATAACAATAATAGCAACGATACCGTCAATGTGAAACAATGCGAGAAGGACGGTAATGCTAACAACGACACGATCGCTAGCGAAAGCGCTCCGAGGGGCAAGCCGTACGCGTTAGCGACGCTCGACGGGACCATCATGTTGGTGCAGGACGAAGTGATCTTGTGGTGAGTGTTCGCCCTACGCAGCGATATTCGGATATCGTGTCAGTCAAGAAATTTTCAAAATTGCGTTTTTTAACTAACCTATAGTATGTGTTGGTTCGATGGGCAAAAGTCCGTTCTGTTCTTTAATCAAAATATACATACAATTTATTTTAAGGTACAATCAACCAATTAAATCGGTTTATTCGATGACCTACCGTTTCTCCGGCAAAGCTGCGCAATTCCGCGTCTACAGAAATTCTGGGATTTCTGAGCGAAAAACTGATTAAAAACGGAACGAATTTTTGCATCAAGCCAATAGTTCAATGTATAGATGCATAAATAATCGGAGAAACTCGCGAATATATATATATGTATGTATGTATCGGGCTTTCTTTCTCTCTGCAGGGCTATGCAAGTGGATCACCAGATATTCGCTCTGTGTCGATTGAACGTCACAGGCAACAATAACGCGGACGAGATAATCGCCTGTGCCTGGGACGGTCAGACTTACATCTTGGACCAGCAACGACACAGCGTGCGCTTTCAGTTCGAGGAGCCGGTCAGGGCTTTCTGCACGGGCAATTACAACGTGAACCCGGGAACATCCACTCCCTGCTTGGTGTACAATACCTTCAACAACAAGGTGCTTATATATAAACCCCAACTAAACTAACAGTAATATTACAAATGTTATAATTGCTCACTCGACAATATAACTTGTTGTAATCACTAAATAGAAGGATCAATGTAAACAAACAGGCAATTTGAAGTCGAAATTTAATTTATTTTAGGCAAATATTATAAATATAGACTAAATTTCATCGTCACTAATTATATTATATATAATATAATTATATTATATAAATCGATTTATATGATATAATTTGTGACGATTATAAATTCACATCCACTCGATAAAAAATGTTGTGTTAAATTTAACATATTTCACATATTATAACACATTTAACATGTCCCAAACGGTCCACTTAAATTTCTGTGTTAATTTAACACAAGATGAATATGCTGAAAAGTAACACAAATTATTACATGTTAGAAATCTGTTACATTACACTTACATTGTTGCACAAGGAATGATAACATTGACGTGAATGTTATTATTAGTTGGTGTCTATTGGAGTATGAATCGACTAACGTTTTTCGCGAATAATGGTGACGATTGCTATTTATTTTTCCAGATTTTTCTTTACTACGACGTTACCCTGCCAAGTATGACGGTCAGCCCTCTGAACCCTACGGAGGATCTCGAGTCCAACGAGGTGCAACTTCTGGAGAAGTTGTTAGGCGAATGTAGTGTCGGGGAGAGACAACAGAAGATGCAGCAATTAACCGAATGGTTGCTATATGGCGTCCATTAGTGTACAGAAGGCAAATGTTACATATACTATAGACAATTACATGTATAATACCGTAACTATATATAAAACTATACATAAATATTCCAGTATATACGAACGTACGTGTGTTCGTGCGCTCATGAAGTCATCGTTCTTTAAATCTCCGTATCGTGAAGGCAAATCGACGGAGAGCGCTAATTTAGACGTATGTCTTGGCATATCGCGAATCAACATTATCTCCGCTAAGGAAACATTTGATCGCGTGAACGAGAAATCGCGCGATCTCTCACCGACGCGACGACTTCCCCGTTCCTCGTGTGTCGCTAGGACGTTTTCCTAGGTCGTGTCCTAGGAAACACAGGTGCCACCGTCGTCGTCGTCGCGTTATCGCGAAGGATATACGACCGGCGAAAGTTCGCGCGGATTTTTGGCAAACAAGCGAAAAACCGGGGCGATATCGGTTATGAAATTAAATTTAGGCGGCGGAGTAGACGCCTATTTCAGGATTCTCGTCTATTTGCGGAAACTTTGGCGCGTCGCATCGCTTTATCTGCCTGCCGTAAATCAGCCGTGACACCATGCTGAATGCCGGCTGAACATATAGCGTTGCACGGCACGTCATCGTTGCCAGTGGGTATGCAGATTTCGTGCAGGTACTTTTCCAAATTCTTACGAGGCTGCTCCGTATCGACGTATGCATGATTAGATCGCGCAAACGACACTCGCCCGAGACCGCACCGATGCAGATTCCCGACCGTGTCGGAGTACGCAAGCAGTAACCGAGACACGTAAGTGCGACAATCAGTACCCGCGAGATCTTCTCGTCACGGCTCCGTTTCCGGCGACGAATTTACCCCTCCGAGAGATCGATTCTGAAGCGGTGCTCGAATTTTCGCGAAACGCGCAGCTCACCGACTGGGATTCCACCGAGCCGAGAATGACGATCAACGGCACGTTTTTCGCGAGCTATGATCTGAAGGAGCTGACCTTCGGATGGACCGATTACGCTCTCTTTGGCGGTCTGCTGGGCGTTAGCGTGCTCATCGGCATCTACTTCGGCTGCTTCAGCACGAAGCAGGACAACACAACCGAGTACCTGCTCGGCGGCAAGACCATGTCCTTCTTGCCGATCAGCATGAGTCTGATAGCAAGGTGATAACCACGCGTCTTGCGCTTACAGCTATTTTTACGACAACTCCGCAGTCTTGATTGTTCTAAGAGTAAAGATGTTTCTTGAATTAATTCATGAGGAACCGGTGATCTCTCGATTGAAACGAGCGTTTCGTTCCGACTCACGGTGTATCATTGTGACGTTAATTACATTAAAGACGACTGATTTGATTCGATGATTAAAAATGATTAATATTTTTTTTATTTCTTGAGGAAACGAAATTTCTCGTTTGCCCTCGGGAGGCTTCTAAAGAGGAACAAAAGTCACGAAATATCAGTCTTCGCGAACATTTAGGAAACTACGCGGGAAGGCGAGTTTCCTCGAGTCTCCGATTTTAATCTTCTCGTTGACTATATATTGACGATACGCCGAGGGTTAAATAAAAAGGAACACTCGTTTATATGTGACATGGATAAAATTCGTTTCAGCCACATATCGGGGGTGTCGTTGCTCGGCGTGCCCTCCGAGGTGTATCAATACGGGACGCAGTACGCGGCATGCGTGTTCACGTCTTTCATAACGTGCTTCATAATCGTATGGATCTACCTGCCGGTGTTTTATAAGCTGCAGCTCACCAGCACTTTTGAGTATTTGGAGATACGGTTCGCCAGGCCGGTGCGGCAATTAGCGTCGTTCCTCTACACCCTCTCGCTGGTCGTCTACGTGCCGTTGATCATCTACGTGCCGGCGTTGGCGTTCTCGCAGGCGACTGGCATGAACCTGCACTTCGTCGCGCCGATTATATGCATAGTGTGCATCTTTTACACGACGATAGTAAGTGAAACGACCATCAGTCGTGATTTAGATGTATTTACCCCTCTCCTCCGAACTGGCGGCTGCGAGGTGTATCAGTACGGGACGCAGTACGCGGCATGCGACGAAAATCTCCGCTTTGTTTATTCAAATGAACTGAGTTGAACGTTTCTTCGATAAAGTTGATCATATTTTTGAAAAGAGGGAATACATTTTTCTTTTAAATACATTGATAATGAGCTTTCCTAAATTTTGTAATGAGTTTATCCGAAGACTATCATCAGGAAAATATTCTTTGTTGAAAATAACTATTATTTAAAAGTAGCGAAATAATCGTTTCTCTTAGCGGTAGAATATTTTTCTCTGTGTGCGCGTTTAGACGCGAATTGATCACACATTCGCTGTTCGTCTGTACTGTTCGTGTATATATCTCTTTGTAACTGGGTTTCAAAACGATCGGGACATTTTTTTCCGATGCGGTTGGTCCAATGGGAGAATTTAACTTCTGAAAATCGATGAAGAGCAAATTCTCTCGTTGGATCATCGGCTGCGAACTATATATCGATAAAAAGTGTTCGAATCATCTCGAAGCCTAGCCTTACGAACGCCGTTATCGTCTATTAGCACGTGTTCGCACGTGCTGCATATTGAAAGAGAGATTCGCCGGCGTCGTGGAGGCCGCGGGATCGCGTGTAGTTCGACTTCGAAGGTCGCGAGGCCACTGAAATGGAGCCGTTCGTGTCATCTTGCGCGAAGTGTGACGTTATCTCCGATATCGCGGTCTGTTTGGACAAAGTGTGTAATTCGCGGCGAAAATGCGTCGGGCGATGCGGTTTTTTCCGGTGTTTCTCGAAACAGACGAGATTATTGCGTCGCCTGATTTTCGTCCGTTTTTGCGGCTCGTCGTCGAAATTTCGCGATTTTTTTTCGTCGTCGAGAACTCGTCATCGATAACGAAGAATCCGCGGTGTGCATTCCTCGCGCGTCACTCTAACGATTGAGGAAGGCACACAAAAACAATGAGATGAGATTCGCCGTTGTTTGGCTTCTGTTTGGACGATGGTGTGCTCAGGTGGGGTAACGTGCTGTGCGAAATATACCTCGCCTCCGCACATCGCCGGTAAAGATAACTCTCCGATATATCACCGGAGATTGATGGGGAAGGTGAATGCGCCTCTTGACGCGCCTGCCGACGGTGCAATAACGGCGTTAACGCCGGCGATGATTTTCCTGAAAATACGCGCCCGGGCGAATAATTGTTCGCGGGGGAGGTTCACGGGATGCGCAAAAATCGAGCGAACGAACGAACCGTTCGATATCCGCGCGATAAAATTAATACGTAATGATCGGGTACAAATAGAGACGGATATAACAAATTGATAGATAATAAAATTAATATGTAATGCCCCCGGCAGATATAATAGATTTAGAATGGATAATGAGTTTTGTATTCGCAACGGCGGTAGCCCCCGTAGGCGCAGTGTCTCGACACAATCGCACGTGTATCTTCCTCTCCCTTCTCCCCCCCCCCTCCCCCACGGGGTTTACGTTTCGCAGAGGTCTGATCGTACCGCGCCGTTTGATTCGGTGCACGTCGCACGCCGTGTGAGTGACACTGATACCTTCATTGTGCGCGAATAATCTCTCTTTGAAAACTCCTAGGGAGGTCTGAAGGCTGTCGTATGGGCGGACACGGTTCAGATGACGGTGACTGTCGGAAGTCTCGTTGCCGTTCTGATCCTGGGGACCATCGCCGTGGGCGGCGTCGGCGAGACATGGAGGATCGCTCAGGAGGGCGGTAGAATCGTCTTCTGGAAGTAAGTCGCGCGTCTCTTATGTCACCGTCCGCAATGCAGGACCGTATAATTAAAAAATAAAAGAAAACCGTTTTTTTTCAATTTTTCTCTGAAAGAAGCTGAAAAAATCCGTGAGAAGTCGAACAATTCGGGCTTTTTCCCCGTTTTTTTTTCATTTATCTCTCTTTCACTTTCTCTCTCTCTCTCTCTCTCGGCACAAGTTGTTTTTAATTTCCCGTAATGGACGAGAGTGCACAATTCCTAACTGACCAATACACGGAGACACAAGATGGATGCTTGTTAATATTTTTCAGAAAATGCACATTTTAGCCCGCACGAATATCACCTGTCATCCGCGCGATCACTGTAGAGTTAATAAACCTGAATGTTCAAACGAACATTTTCGGTCCCGGTGACAGAGACCGTCGTTTCTCGTCGCTGAATTTTTGTCCGTTACGCGCGCACTGAACATTTCTTTTTCTCCGTATGACGACAGCATGGATCCGAGTCCCTTCGTGAGAAATTCGTTTTGGGGCATGTCGGTGGGATTGGTGACGACGTGGCTGGCGTCGCTGGGTATCAGCCAGGTCTCCATGCAGAGGTTCTTGGCGGTGCCGAATATCAAAGAGGCCCAAAAGTAAGTGCGCGTTATTTATATGAACAAACCGCTTTGAATACGCAACCCATGCCTCCTTCGCAGGTCGATATGGTTCCTGGCTGTGGGACTGGTGGTCGTAAAACTAATCTCGGTCTTTACCGGCCTCACAATGTACGCCAGATATCACAAGTGCGATCCTATAGCCGCGCACGTAAGTCTTCTTTTCGACGGCCACGTATATGCGCGTGTAGAAATATTTATGGCACTTTACCGCTTCTTTCTCTCTCTTTCTTTCTTTCTCACTGTCCCCCCACTTCCTAGAATATAATAAATTTGTCATCCAACTATATACATTCGTCCGCCTTTTTTTATTCTTCTTCTTCCCAATGTTTTTCTTTCCGCGTGTATCCCGAGGTATTCCACCTCGTGAGATAGAATGGAACGTCTATTTATCCCTTTCTCGCGTTTCCTCTCCCTTTTATTCTTATTTTAACGGTGTCCGTGTCGTAGAAACGGCGAATCGTAAGGCGTAATTAAAATGAGATTAAGAAGTCGGGCAATTGAGGATTAAACGAATCCCAAGCGTCTTGCGGGGGGGCGGACGGTATGACC